ATACTCCTACTGGCTCCGGGCGGCGGGCCGCGGGAAGGGAACGGCCCGGCCCCGTCGCTGCCCGCTGAGCGATCGCTGTCCGCCGCGGAGCTGGGCGAGTGGCGACGCCGGGTGCAGGAGGACCCCGCCTGCTTCTTGCAGCTCTGCCGCCACCTGGACTGCGTCCCCGACATATGGGCGCTGCAGGAGTGGAGCAACTGGCTCACCCCGGTGGGCAGGGCCGGCCGCGGCGGGCGGCGCTACGACACCGCCTTCTACCTGTGCTGTCTGGAGGCGCGGCCGCCGCACACCTCGCAGGACAACCAGGAGATCGCGGCCTTCCTGGTAAGGGCTGCGGGAGCCGCCCCCGCCGCGCTACGCTCCGGGTTTCACCTCGCGGCCACGCGGGCGCCGTGACGGCGGCACGAGGAGCTGCCCCGCGGGCCTCCCCGCCTTTCCCCCGGGGGTGCGTGCGCTGCCGGCCAGCTTTCTGCCAGTGCTGCCTTCTGGGATGACAAGGAGCGAATCTACCTCCTCTATATGGTATAGAAATGTAAAAGCACCCAAGATCTTATTTTCAAAGGAGTTCATGCTATAACGTTTTGCTAATAGTGGCAGAATTGTACAGCAGATGCTGATGTACACATTTGTGTTATCAAATTCAGCATGCTAGACAAAACAAGACAAATAGTTTATACTTGCAGAACCACACCATGTTTATTTACTGCAAGTAGCTGAGTATTCGTGCTATACAGCGTGGACTCAGTTTTTGTTGGAGCACACTCTTAGTCTTGAACCCAGACTTCATTTTAGTTTCCAAATTTTGTATGCCTGCATTTAAAGTTCAAAATTATTTACTTTATTGGAAAAATGTAATTTCTACAAATTACTGTCCGTATGTTTTAGTAAGTTTTTGACTCCTGTTATTGATATAGTTTACATATGACTTTTATTGTGTTCAGAAAACTTAAGGCTGTTTAAAGCTTTTTCTTACTCTAATTTTGTCTGCTGCTGAAGCTATTGTTTCAAGGTTTGTTTTCCTCAAACAGTGGGCATCCCCCCAAGAAGCTATTGAACGCTTTAAATCTCAAGAAATCTGGCTTGCTCCACCTCAGTTCTATGAATTATGTAGGCTGTGCAACTTCTCCTCACTGAATGATTTACACAAGTTCAACACTGATCGAGCTCTAGAAGGATGCGAATGTTGGCTGCCTGTGACATTAACTGCTGCAGATGGCTTAATTCAGCTCTTACCAGGTAAGAAAGCAGATAAAGATTCTTTGAAGTATATAAAACCTTTGGGAATTGATAAATACTCGAGCCACTTTTCATAAGCCAGTCTGTATCTGAGGGAAAAACCTCTCAGAAGTCACATCATCGCACTCATTTCCTACTGTTTTTCTTCTGCCACCCTCCAGCTGCTATGATACAGCTGATAATGGCTGCTGTCAGAAATGAGCTCCTGGACCACTTGGGCAGCATGGTGATTTCTGCTCTTACCCCTAATTTCATTGTTTCATATGGTTACCGTTGATACACAGATTTATGAAGAAATTGTTAACTTTTTTTCTTTTTTTAAATATGAAGGATATATTAGAACTCAGATTTAGTTCTTTTCAATGAGAATTTTCATTGACTTAAGTTATCCATTTGTAAGGGCAAGTGAATCAACCACACAAGTCTTCTCAATCACAGTGTAGTGATATAACTGCTGTGATTACAGCATGTTAGCATTAGCAAGAGCTCTGAAACATGTGCACTGTTCACTGACAGATACTTTAGGAATATATGGCTGTAATATTAAATATGAAGATGCTTAGAGACTATTTACTCATCAAATCTATTCCCACTTAATCTCACGTCCTGATAAATATTTTTTTAAATTGCAAGTATCACTCAATCAAACAGCTGCAGAGTAAGACAGACATTCTGTAACTAAACGTTGTTCTGTTTGTTTTCTTCAGGTGATGAGTTATATCCAGAAGACCCAGATTATACAGGTGAAAAGAAAATAACTTTGTCAACAGATAAGACGGTTGAAGATCTCATGAAAGGGGGTAGTATATTTCACAGGATAGTAATAAAAAATACCAAAAGTCTTGCTGTCTATGTTAATATTCAAGCAAAATATAAACATATGAATCCGTTGATGATAAACACTGATAGTTCAAACTACAATAGTAGATTATAATGTATTTGGTTTAAAGCTAGAATATGTTTCATTACATGCACATTCACTGTGTTTCTCATTGTTCCTAACAGTTTCCAAGTATTCAGGACAGTAGACTTAAATATTCCTTGCCAAAGCATTTCATGTGATTGTAGGTTTTAGATTTGTGTATCTAATTCTTTGAGTCTTTGAAATTGCGTAGTTGTGCCAGTTATAACCTTCAGAAGCTACTGAAAATTTAACACAATCACCAATTGAATTACCTGGAGAAACTTGAAAGTGATTTGATACCAATTATACTGAGCAGTTACCAACTTATTCTACTTACATATTAGTAGTGGTATTCCAGCTGGTCTGTTGGGTCACAGAGGTCCTTTTCTCACTGAAAATTAAAGTATATCGTATGTTCAAAACAGGCATGTTTTGAGTTGAAGAATTATTTTACTATTCTTCTAACATAGGTCTAGAAATGAATGAATCTCCTGTTCCATTCTTATTGACATATTTCATATTCTGGAAAAACTGTATGCGCATATATATAGATGTGTTAGCTAATGTTAAATTTCTTACTGAGAGGGTGGTGAGGCACTGGCACAGCTGCCAGAGACACTGTGGTTTCCCTGGTGGTGCCCAAGCCTGAGCTGGTGGGGGCAGCCCTGCCCACAACAAGGGGCTGGAACTGGATGGTCCCTTCCAATCCAAGCCTTTCTATGATTCTATGAAATATTTATTACAATAAACAATATTTATATTTGATAAAATAGTTTATGTTAATGATAATTTATGCAAAACATCACAATTTTCAAAGGTAGAGATGATTTAGATATAAACTATCATCTATCAGATTGAGTGCAAACATTCTTTTTATTCATTCTAACCTTTACCTTCAAGTCACTAGTAATTTTAAAAGAAAAAATGAATTTTCAGCTCCAAAAAGATTTCAAAAACTTCAGTTCATAATGTACTGCCTTGAAAACAACTACTTCCACATTTCAGCGTCCCACATAATACTTCTTAACATGTCTTTGAGATTTAAAGACTGCAGAGGAACGTCAGCTACTCTTTGATGTTTTATTTGGGGGCAGGGAGCAGTAAGTGGAGCATATGGAGCTGTGATGCGGTATCTTCTTCATCTGGAAGAAGAAGGATGACTTGTGATTAGACAGTAAAGCTGTTCTGAAAGCTTTGTTTCAACTTTTGTTCTGTATTTCAATTAAAATAAAATTTTCTGTAGTATTTTCTTTCTACTGAATTTGTTTGTAGCATTCATTTGGACTGGAAAAATGTTCCTGCTTTTTCTCTTATTGAACATGCTCAGATGGTTCTAGGTTTAGAAGTCCCTTGCTGCTGTTCTTCTTCACAATATTCTGGCTAATTCTTTAGAACATGAAGATCACAGGAAAATTAGAAAAATGGAGAGTGGAAGAAGCAAAGAATGTATCCAGTGTTACCCTCTGACATGATTTTTAGCTCTTAGAGATTAACACCAGGCACTGTAATACTAGGTAGGTAAGAGGAAAAAGCATGGCTATCAGTATTTTTCTTACATCTAATACGAGTATCTTGGCTTCAAAGTTACTCCATGCAGGGCTGTTTGATGAACTACGCTGAGAAGATACGCTATTTATTTAAATACCGTATCTCTATGATAATTGATAATAAAGAAGATGCTTTAATTTTTGCAATATAGTCTTTCCCAGTTCACGGACAGACTTCTAGATCGTTATTTATTGTTCTGTACCTTGTGTTGGTTGTACCAGTATGTTCCTACAGGTTATCTAAGTGTTACTGCATGTCAAAGAGTAGTGACTTCAATACTGAACCTGCTTAAATCTGCCTCTCCACATTGTCTCCTGGATCTTGTTTTTTGCACTAGTAAAAGTGAAAGGGTCCAGTAGGGGGAGCTTGAAGGCCAAACAACAACAAGAAGAACAGAAAAGATACTATTTTGCTTTAAAAATGAACATAACTGTCAAATAGAAACATAAATGGTTTACAATATGCAGACAGTAAGTATCTTGTAGCATTAAGTTAAAAACAGTGGCAGTTAGAACTGTGGATTTGAAATACTGAGGCACTGTAAGAAACAGACCAGATTCCAGCTGCATGTTCACCTGCTGCCCTTGGGCTGGAACTTTGACCAGGCAGCCTTGCACAGACATATCAGATAGCAAAAAAAAAAAGAAAAAAAAAAAAAGAAAGCCTGGATGAAAAGGTGAGCATACAGCAGTGAATAATAATCAAAAGAGATGTAGGTGCTTTCTCACAGATTGTGATGTTATGGAACAGTCATATTCTGTTGGAGATGCTCTTCTGAATTCATATAGCTGAATTCCAGGAGAGAAACACCGGGTGAAATCTCCCTCTGCCTCCGTAAGTCTTTCAACACATGCTGTGCTTCCGACTGAGAGACTCTGAGGGGAAAGGAGTTGCCGCAGAGGCTCTGGCCATTACAGATCATTACAGGCCCATACGGCAGCACGAGCAGCCCGCGCAGGACGAGCCCTGCCTGCCCTCTCCGGCTGCTCTCAGCTCTCCTACGGCCCTTCTAAACTCAACCTGAGGCACGGGCAGCGGCACACACAAGCATCATCCCTCCGAGCCCAAGCGCCCGACCAGGAAAAAGGCCAGACATTCACCTGTTGCGATAATTTCCACAACAATGCGTTTAACGAGCCGAAAACGAAGTCACTTCCAGCCCTGACGACGCCTTCGCACCTCCTCTTCCTCCCCGTACCTCAGTAAGGCAGAGCTGCGCATGCTCGGCCTGAGGGCGCGTCCCGCCCTTTTGGGGTGAGCGCGGGAGGCGGTGGGGCTTCTGGAAGATCGTGGAACTTCCTGTGGTAATGCTGAGGTCTGTGCAGGTGCTCCAGCATTGTGTGGCTAAGGTTTTTACTTCTCTGAGGGAGAGTGTAACGTTAATGTATAAAGTGAGGATTGGAATAACGGAGAAAATACTGTTTCTTATCGGTACTTTTTGTGTTGTGTGCTTCCTTGTGCCATTGAGGTGCCTTTGTGAGATGGAGTGGGGCTGGGAGGGCAGAGGAAGGTAAGGGCAGGGCTCAGCTCTTAGAGTGCTTGTGTCAGACCTGTGTTGTCAGAAGGTCTTTTCACCTTTTAACTGTATGCTTCTCCTTAAGGTAGCACTTGCAGTCATCTCGTGTCTTTCTGAGGTGAGTAGTGGTGTTGGGTGATGGCTGGGAGCAAGCCTTTGTGTCCTCATTTTTCTCTTAGTAATGGAGTGGCTGTTTATTAGGGGAACCAGCTTTTTTTCTGTGTGTGCATTGGCCTTAGTGACTTGATAGGTACTTATGTCCTTTATGCTTAGGGAGACATAAAGAAGATAGGTTGAGTGTTATGGGCAATGTATTTTAGCAGGAGTTATTGTATGAGCGGTTTTAGTGGTGGCTTTGGAAGCTGAAGCTGCTGGCTTGGCTTATCGTTCCTGAGACCCTCTTAAACCCTCTTACCCTAGTGTGAATTCTTGTAAGAAGCAGGCTGAGCATTGCTGTGAGGAACGGTGCTGTGATGTGCAGGTCTGTGAAATGCAATGTACGTAGTTTGATATAGCAGGTGGTGCGTGCCGTAATTCTGTTCCACGTGAGCATGGTGTGAAATACAAGTAGAAATATGTGGTAATTAAAACTGATTGAGGCTGGGACTCATGTCTGTGTTTATTTCTTTATAGTAATGTTTGAGTTTCTCTCTGGTGTTGGTGTAGGTTGGCCAGGTAGCTAGGTTGTAGCAATCCTTTAACCAAAATACTTACCTTGGCCTTTGAGAGTAAAATAATGGCCTGTAGAGTGCAGGCAGGTTGAGGATAAAGTATTTTCTGTTACACAATCAGTTTTCAGCATATGAATAAGTGGATGGCAAATATCAATTAGGATTCAATGTAATAAGTCTTTTATACATGTAAATTAGTTGCCTAACGCAGTGCTTTGTACAAAAGTAGCAAAAATGTGTATTTGTTGTGTACTTCTTAGCTGTGCTTCAAAGCAAATGAAAGCTTTAATGTAGACAACCAAATGTTTGTTGGTTTGTTTGTTTGTAGTGTTGAAGAAGACTCAACGGCTGGGCATTATGGAAGTCTTCGTATTACGGGTATGCTGATATTTTTGGAAGTTAAGGTGGTCAGTGTTTATTTCAATGAAATTGGAAGTCAGATTTGCAAATAAGATGATGCCTTTATTTCTGTTCAGTAGTCATTTCTTATACGTGTGGTAGGGATATATGTGGATTGTATAAATTTTCTCACTTCGATTTTTGTCTTGATTTCTTCTGAAAAGAAGTTAGTAAGGATGCAGCTAAAATTTAAAATGGAAGGTATCCTGCATAATTTTAAATATAGCATCTGCTGTTCTACTGAATCCTGTAGGACGTAATGCAGAAATTTATTTTCCTCAAATGTTGAATACCCTTATTATCTGAAAAACTGGTATGCAAATACTTTAAAAAGTTGAGCAGGCTGTGGCTCTATTTTAAATGAGCTGTCTTGTAGACCCTCTGAACATGAAGAAAATGTATTGGTGTTTTTTTTTGCATACTTCAGAGGTAATGTTCAAGTAAAAAGCTTATGTGTTTGCAGTTAACTCTCATTATATTTAGTTAACAAGCCTATTAAATAATGCTACAGCTTTTCAGAATGGATATGGTATCGTGGTACTGAATAGGGCAAATTGAGAAATCAGTTACTGAACTAAAGCTTTGATCCTGAAAGGTGTTTTGTTACTAATATTGTTTGTTCAGTGTTATTTCTCATAACTTTAAGGTACCTCAGTAAAGACTGCATCTTATTTTTACATTTACTGCCCAGGTGTTCTTAGAAGTATCCTATCACTCTATCACTTCAGGTGGAGATAATACTATTTATTTTTGTCTGCCTTTTACACCAGATTGAAGATCCAGGTTGCTTTTGGGTTACTATGAAAGGATGTGGGCCTCATGTAGTTGATGAAATAGAGTATAAAAAGCTGAACGCAGAAATGACTCAGTTCTATGACAAAGCTTGTGAAGATGAAGTAAAGCCAATAACATTAGAAAAAGACCAGGTAAAATCATTGATGTGTCCTACACATAAAAAGAAATAATGTGTTATTTACATTGGTTTAGGGGAGAAGTATCCAAGATATGTTAATTTTTGCTTGTTTTATTTTTGAAATTGTTGCTGTGAAATAGAAATCTGTATCAGTATGGGTTATTTTTCTTATACGTAGCTTCATAACTACATAAGCCATAATGCTTGCAGTTTACAAAGTAAATCTAGGACTGTAAAGAAAGTACCATGTTTTTCCACTAAGTAAACTGTATAATTTGTTCAGATCATGAGAACCCATTGTTTTGTTTCTTTTTCAGCTTTGTGTGGTTTTCAGCGAGGAGCTGAAGTGCTGGTGTAGAGCAGTTGTTAAGACGATCATGTACTGTGCAGACCATTATCAAATAGAATGTTTTCTAGTGGATTATGCAAAGTATGTTTTTGTTAAATCAAAACAGTAAGTGTCTCTTTTTTTTGACAGTTATATGCATGTAAAATACTGTGACTGTTTTTCTAACTTACTGGCTTAATTGGAATGAGTCCACAAGAAACTGCTAGCCTTTATCATTGGAGATTCAAATATGGCAGTGATGATTGAAATATGACTGCCAGTTAGCACTGCTGAAATGTACTTTCCTCTGTTATTAAGGGGATTCATTTAAAAAACAAACAAACACCATGTAACCCACTGTTTCTAAAATCTTAAAACGTATCTTAATCTCTTCCATGTCTCAGCTATATTTAATATTTACTTACTTAACGAGATATCCAACAAGAGCATTTACCAGGTGTTTTTTAAGAAAACTTATTTGTTTGAAGAGATAAATATTTTATAATCTTAAGTTAAAGATAGTTTTGAATTGAATCTTTCTGTATCAGAAAGCAACTTGACTGTGCCATAAGTTTAAAATGTGTTCTCATAGAATTAAATGCATAATATACTGCTTCAGTGTAAAACAAATTAGAAGAAGAGTGATAATATATGGGTCTTACAAGATTGCTCTAGATGATGTCTTGCTGGTTACTCTGGTTACTTACTGGTTTCTTGTTATTTGGTCTCCCACCAAGTCATGTGTAAGGGATAATTGTGTTGCTTTCACTAGAGTCTGGACCAATATATAAATAATACCTTTTTTTCTAAGAGTAAGGAGTACAAACGCAAATAAGTATATTAATTTTATCCTTAGTTTTAATCATATATTATTTTTTTTTACTGAAGAGTAAGAATTGTCAAATGGCTTATGCAGTGCCAGAAAGCATACATATAGTATCATGAAAAGACTTTAAATTGAACTTTCTCTGCTAAATAGGGAGTGCAGAGTTTTACGGTGGGAGCCAAACATCTAGAAGAACTGTGTTGTCGCGTAGGATAATGAAAGGATGTATTTGAAATGCCTGTGACTTCTACAGAATGTAATCTGTAGAATGAGATTATTTCTGTTTTTTGTTTTTAAGTGTTCGAGTTGCAGTGGAAGAATTTATGCAAATCCCATTTAGAGCAAAAAAATGTGGATTGTATCGCACAAAGCCTGTGACCTTGCATGTCAACCTCTGTGAAGATACAGCAAAAATAGTGTAAGTAGGGTTCCGTAATTGTATTCTTGTCACGCGTTTCTCAGACGTAAAATTTCATTTGAGAATGAAACATCTTTTTTTTTTTTTTTTTTTTTTTTTAACAAGAGCAATTCATAAATAAAATTTGTTCCCTAATCATTTGGGGTTTGTTTTCTCATCTATTTGAATCTTTTAATATTTTGATGAGCATTTGGCAGTTCTTGTTTTTTGTTTACCATCCTAGAGCTGTGTTACTTGGTTGCTAGCACATGAGCTTCTCTGCCAGTTATCCTTCTGTGTTCTTTCTTGGGGTGCTCATCTCACTACTGACTGTCTTGTTTGTGCTTATTACACATTCTGCCAGAATGGAAATTCTAATAATGTTTTTAGATAGCTTTGTTTTTCTCTCTCTTCTTGAAATGGTTTGGTCTCCTGTTGTATTTGTCATCTTTGTATCAGCTCTGGAGGACTGGAGAAAAGGTTTTCTTTAGAGTCTGCTGGTAAAGGGAAACATTTGAATGTTCTTATTTTAAATTACAGAATGTCATTGTCAAAGATTTTCAGATGTGATTATATTGTGGGGTCGGAGTATGACTTCATAGCAAGGAAACTACTGTTTTCTGTTATTAAAGGATGTTCAAAACTAAATGTAGTCCAACAGGTGGTTTTTTAAACACTTTGAAAGAAAAAATCTTTTACTTGCATACTCTGTCAGAAAAAATAGTAACTTAGTTTGGATAGGAATAGCATCTTGAGTGGGCTATTTTTGTGAATTATTGAGAGGTTAGTAGATGAATAGAGGGAACCTGAGTATATTTGTTTTTTGTTAGAATCTGTATATTTTATATTTGCAGAAGGTGGCAATGACAATTTAAGTTTTTGTTGCAATACTTCAAATTTTTAGAATTTCAGAGTTTATAAAGTGCTCATTGTAAAATTGTTCAATACTGATTTCAAGTAATTGATGTGTTCTATAAGTGGATTCTTGCTTTTGTTTCTTATTATACTACTTTATTCTTACTAGTTTGTTCTGTGTTGGATGTATCCATCATATATTGGCAAAGCAATATCCAATAATTTTCAAGTAGTTTGTTCTAGGAATGAATTGATAAATCAAAACCTGAGTTATATTCAGAGTATTAAGTTTCTGCTTATGTTTTTGTTAGATGCAGGTTTTGAGACTTAGCAGGACTCGATGGATACGTGCCTCACTATTCAGATTACCATTTGAATTTGTGATGGTGTGAATGTGGGATAACTGGTTGTGTTTCTTTTCCTAGACCAGCCAAAAGATGGGATAATGCTGCTACGCGGTATTTTCAAAGTCTTCTGGAAGGTAAAAGTCTTGTAAAAATTGGCACTTCTGTTTTGGGGAAAAATAAGTTACCAGAGAAACACGGTACTTGAATATGTATTCATTTTTAATTTTCACTAAATTCTTAATAGAAATGAGTTGTGTGGTTGTTTTTGTCTGTGTGAGTTGACTTAGTCAAGATTACATGTAGTCGTGCGTCTTGAGTACTGTGGGCTTCCATTCTGTATAAAATGTGGCAAGTGTCTTTCTGTGGGTTTTTTGGATGGGTTGAATAAGGTAGCACTCATATAACAACTGTTCTTAACAGTGGTGCCTTTCTTTGTATTCAGCATAATTCTTTGAATCAGCCTTAAAGCTGTTTTTGCTAGTTGTGTGACAAGAATATAAAACACCAGCTCAGAAGAGATTATCTTGATTATAGTTACATTATTAAATGGATTGTGCTCAGCATAGTTTCTAAGTAAGCTAGAATGGTTTGCTCTCTGCTCAGTTTGTGTCCTTAATCATGTGTGGTGTTTCAGTAGCTCATCCAGACTTCTTCATATCAAGTGTGCTGTTTTGGTATGAGAGAGCTTTTGATTTTTCAAAGCAGTTCTTTGCTGAGTTTGTCTGATCTTACGTGCTTCTACTGAAAGGCTTCTTACCTGCTTCCTTGCAAGTACAGTGTACTCTATACAAAATGATATTTGGGAAGAAGTGTCTGAGTTCATAATAACAGTAAGGACTGTTAAGACTAATAACTTCATACCATAGTGGGAATGTGGCACTTTCCATTATTTAAGTTGTGTGTTTGCACATCTAAGTGTCAAATATTGCTATGCAGAGGGTAGTAGGCAGCACCAGCAACATTAACTTGATTCCACAAACATTCCCAGGCTGTGGTAAGCAATATTATGCTCTTTTTAAATATTATTATTATTGCTGGTACATCAGTAGTGTGTGCAGGAGAAATACTTAAGAATTTTGTAACAGACATCATTTATTTGTTAGGGTTTTTTTAATTAATATCCTAACCAAACTTTGCAAATGTGCAAATATACTTTCTTTCAGAAAAAGTCTCAAAGAAGGAAAGTATGCATTTGTACTCTGCATTGTTCATCTGAGGGTAGAATGTGAACACTTCTGGTGTATGACTGTGACTGGTGTCTGTGGACCAGTCACTGGTCTCTTCCAGTTCTGTCTTCCCTCAGAGACTGAGAGCAATGCTTTTCTAACGTTAAGGTTTTTTTGCTGTATTGCAAAATTGCTGTTCCTTTAAAAAATCAGAACATTTGTACTAGTTTCTCTTGAAAGTAATAGATCACACTCATCTCATCGTTCTTTCTATTTCTGTGTGCTTGAAAAATACTGGACTTCTTGTTTATTGCTATTTTTTAGCAACTACACAAATCAAAGCGAAGTTATGTTCTGTGGAAGATGATACATTTCATGTTATTCTTTATGTGACAATAGAAGATGAAAAGGTAGGATACTTCGATGTCTACAAACCCGTTGGTACGCTTTACAGTAAAAATCATAATTCTGCAATTTTTAAGACTGAAAAGCATTAGTAATGAGTTTTGTCATTTGTCAGATATAGTAAGTGCTGTGTTACTTATTAAAGATATTTCTTTATCATTAAATAATCATTAAAAATTGAAGTAAGAGAGTAAGTTACTCTCTTAATTATTATTCCAATCTTTTATTTTCTAAAAAAGAAGCAAATATAAGGGTATCTGTATTAGGAAGAGACTTTTAAAAAAATATGTGGATGCTGATAGTGTTAAAACCAGAGCACTTTCATTTTAGAATAGAATTAGTGGAGGTAACTTTGGATGACCTGCAATTATTCTGGGTGTGGCTTTGTGTACTATTTTATTTTCTATGTTTGTGTATGTTTGTTTGTTTTTGTGTTTTACTGGATTTCTTCCAGCTGTAATGTATAGCTGTTTTTGGAGGTTATAACACTGAACTATGTAGCAAAACTGCATATATTTCAGAATCTGGTGCCTGTTTTAAACCATTAGAATATTTTCTTTGCTTAAAACAAGGTGGAATAATGTCTTTGATATTCTTCAAGAAGTATTAAAATTTATTTGTGCCTAATCACTGTGCACCCATGGTGAGATGTAACTTTAAAAATAAAAATATGCAAATAGGTAATTGAAATGGACAGCTAAGTGAATTATTTAGTGCACTTCTTTGCCTTTCTGGTATTTTTAAATAGTATTTTGCAATTGACTAATTGAAAAATCTTTAAATATCAGTTCATGCTTGCTTTTGCTTAAGACTTCATCCTCAAATCTTGGGGAAAATCTAGCTCCAGTTGCCAAAACGTGAAACTTCTGCTAATGCTTTACTGTGGCTACTGTCAAGCTTATGCAGCCATACTGTAGTTATGAAACAACTCATTTGCATCTTTTTGGAGTGTTCTGCCAACTTTCAGCCCTAGAGTTGTGGTCTTTGCCATAGACCATAATTTTTCAGGTATGTGTGAAGTCTGAGACCTTCCATCGGTTCAGAATCATAATTGTTAATACAGTCACTGATCTCTGAGCCAGTAGAGTTCTGGAGTTTTGGTATAGTAATACGTTTTGTCTGCCACACTTTGATTCCCTCTGAATCAAAATAATAACCTGCTTTTCTTCTTAGTAGTTTTGAATGTTTAGGGTTGACAGAAAAGATTATTGGAATACAAAATTTTCTGGAGAAGCATGAAATTTACAGCTAATTAAAATCTATTTTGAGAAGGTACTGGAAGATATGGCTTCCTATTCTGGATTTAACATTACTCAAAAAGCACTGATACTGCTTAAGTGTTACTACTGTTTAAAGCTTGAAATATACTCTAAAGTATGTGATATTGGTACTGGTCAAAGATCATCTTTTCTTTTTTAGGTATGCATTAATGATGATCTTGTCTTAAAGAAGTTTGCTCATTTTGAGGAAGCTAAAGAGAATGTTCAAAGTCCAACGAAAGAACAAGATAACCAGACATCTTTAAATGTTGATTCTCCTCCAGTAGAAATTGTTAATCCAGCACTTGCTTTCAGGCTAGTGTGGTTGCAAGAGAATGTACCAATGAAACTTGAAGCAGGTGGGGACACTATGTCAGAAACATGCAGTATGTTGTATATCTCTGATTGGCCATACTGAGCCTGCCGTCTCAGTTTGAATCCAGTGATCGAATCAAACAGTGTTGTTAACGACAGGTGTTTGACTTCACAGTCATCAAATCACCAGATGCAGGAATACTTTGAGCTGTTCTTTTTTTTTTGTAGTGCATAAGACAAAAACTGTGAGTTGTATTGGTGTTTGTTAATGTGCTTAATAGCATTAGGTATTATTGAAATTAGTTGTTTGATGCATTACTGTTGTTTTTGCATTTGAATGGGTTTATTTTAAACAGAAGTAGTTGTAAAACTGTAGGATTTACGAGTTGTGCCACTTGTAGTGATTCAAGTCCATTAGAAGGCATGCAATTTTCCATCCTGATGAAGGTTTTTTAATTATTTTTTTTACTATTAGCAAATGATACAGGAATGAAACAAAACCACTGGTAACCATGGCTGTAAATAATAATGGCGGTTTTTCGTGTGTTGAGATAACTTGAAAATTTCTTCTTCCTAGGCCATACTGCTTCTAGTTCCTCTCTTGAAAAGACATACAAAAGATCAAACATGGATCTCAATGAAAATAATGAATCTGTAAGTATTGTTTTGTAATAAATTGTCAAAGGTGAATTTGATTGAATGTACACCAGACAGATAAGGAATACTGTAGTCACCTGTCCAGTTCTTCTGCATAACTTAAGTCTGTGAGACCATGCTAATTCTTTGTATAGTTGAAGGAGAATATTCTTTCTTTACGTGGAGGAACATTTAAAACAAAACAAAAAACTAAACAAACCAAAATCTGTACGCCTTGAAAAGATTCTGCCTTCTTTTTACTCTCCTTTGCTGTGGTTTTATGAAGGTGAAGCTGTCTACAGTAGGACTTACAGTTTTCTGAAAATGAAAGAAGGTGAGCTTTAGTGCTGTCCTGAAAACAGAGTAGTCATTATGCTGTAGCATGGCATACATTCCCTGGAGTTATTCTTATTTGTTCTTTAGTACTTCTTATGTCTAATCTACTTTCTTGCTTTTTCTGTTTTTTTACTTGCTGTTGTTTTCTGAGCTATTTTAAAGAGGTCAGCCCATGAGTGCTGAGATGGTTACTGGCATAGTTGAAGGTAGTTACAATATCAGTGAGAGGAAAGGAGTATGAATCCATAATTCTAGGCAAATAATGACTGGTAATGGATCCTCTTTCTGCTTTTCAAAGAGTGAATGTGATGTTTTTTGTCATTTTATGCTAGGTGATTTAAAGAGAAATTTACTTTCTGATAGCAATGCAACTGGTTCTTTTACCAGCTTGGAGGGAAAAATGAGTTTCACAGGAACTGTGACTTTTTTTTTTTTTTTTTTAAGTTTTGCTGAGTATTGCAGGGTGACAACCGCTACAGAACTTAAAGTGAAATACCTAATTAAGAATTTTTTTGGAGGGGAGAGGGAAAGGAAATAATATTGTTAGCAGTAGATGATTATCCT